CCTATCACTCTCTCTTCTCTTTCCTATCACTCTCTCTTCTCTTTCCTATCACTCTCTCTCTCCTCTTTCCTATCACTCTCTCTCTCCTCTTTCTCTCTTCTCTCACTCACTCTTCTCTTTCATCTCTCTCACTCACTCTCTCCTCTTTCCTCTCACTCTCTCTTCTATTTCCTCTCTCTCTCCTATTTCCTCTCTCTCTCTCTTCTCTTTCTCTCTCTCTCTCTCTTCTCTTTCCACTCTTCTCTCTTCTCTTTCCACTCTTCTCTCTTCTCTTTCCACTCTTCTCTCTTCTCTTTCCACTCTTCTCTCTTCTCTTTCCACTCTTCTCTCTTCTCTTTCCACTCTTCTCTCTTCTCTTTCCACTCTTCTCTCTTCTCTTTCCACTCTTCTCTCTTCTCTTTCCTCTCACTTTCCTTTCCCCATTTATTTACTTTAAATTCTAAGTCACTCTAGGTACACCATCCTGTCCTGACCTATCAAACAGTCGCCAGCTGCCACAATCAGATAAAATGTAATAACCCCCCTTGCCATTATAATTAGTGAAAATATGGCCCAGCAGGGAGCTGGCACTGTCAGTTCAGTAATTACTGAATGTGACTTACTGACCCCAAAGGACTAGGAAGTGGGACGGGTCAACAAGTTTCAGATTATACAAGACTCTTATTGTCATAACTATTTATTTCAACTGTGATATTGATCCTCACAAAAGATAGTGAAGGGTCCATCGAGGGGGGTGGGGGTGCATCAGATGGGTTGCGGAAGTAGAGTTACAGGCAGAGGGAGGGGGTATAAGGGGTGTTGGGAGGTGAAAGCAAGAAGGCATTGCTCCCCAACATTGCTATATTTAGTGCACTTGCCCTCCACACCCTGACCTCTTTCACCCTTTACTCACTCTCCCTTCCTTCCTTCCCCCTCTGAATTTCTACCTCTAACCCTTTCCACACCCTACACTCTTTTTGTATTAAAAATTTTATTTCACACACAAACACCTAAAAATGTACTGTACCACTACAAGTTATTCAAATTCAAAATTCAAATGTTTATTTAGGTAAAATACATACATACAAGGGGTGATACAAAAATTGATGAATTTATAGATAGAGCTAGTACTGTACATACAATGCCTAAAGCCACTATTACGCAAAGCGTTTCGGGCAGTAATTCATTGCAACCGAATAACTTTCCATCATTAAAGGGCCTATTCTATCTCCACTACTCTCATTCCCTTTCACTCCTGCTCATGGGGCCTGTAACACAATAGTCTACATCCTCGACCACATCCCTCACACCAAGGAACCTGGGGATTAAAAGAAATGGTTGGGAATGCTTTTTCCACTTGATGATCCTGCTCACTTAGCAGTAAATAAATACATGAACCCAAAAGTTAGGAAATTGTCATGGGCTGCATCCTGGGAGATGTTGTAGTTGGCCTAGGGAGAGGGGGGGGGGGGACCTTGATAAGCCTTGGTACAGTACAGGGTTCCTGTCTCAGACGATGGAAATTATATAATCCTTACCTCATTGCACTTTGTTTGGCTTCACATAAACCAACCATACCAACCTACCATCCGTAAAATTATTTCCCATTTTCATCTTTTATTTTAAACTTATTACCCTCACATTCCACACACTTATACGAGCCTACCTTTGCTTTCTAAGACTAGAGTAGACAAGACACAAATTCTGGGCCAATTTTACCTTTCAGGGACATATGTTTAGAAACCTGGGTCCCTTGAGCCCAAACTTCCCACCCACTTCATTGCAGGGCTCATGTGACTTTTTACCCGACTTTACGTGAGGGGTCACTCTCTCTCTAGTGGCCTCGATGGGGACAGAGAGCTGGTGGCTTGTCAAAAATTGCCTCCGTTATTTCCGAGGATTTTTGCACCATAGTGGTAGGCAATGGTATCACTACATTCCTGTCCTAAAATACCACCTGTAATGACAAACTGACAAAATATTGCCGGGGGCAAATTGAGAAAGCTAAATGCATCATTAATATATTATGAACAATTATTGCTCTTTTCAGTTCACTCATCCTAGTGCTGCAAGTCTAGGCCTGCATAAGTACAACCTCAAGATTAGACTGATCTATTATATCGGAATAAGGTGTAACATGGACTAAATCCTAGTAGAGGCAAGTCGCTGTCAGACCAAGCATTGATTGGTCAGAAGCCACAAGTGCAAAACTTGCCACTAAAACCTTCCAGGAACAAGTTTCACTCACACAACTATGCAGAACATAATATGATTTAGAAAAAAAAAATTATTTAAATTGTTTAGGGGATGTCAAAGAAACACTCAAATAATTTATTGACAGTAGAGACAACTGGTAATAGGGAAAAATTCAAATGGTTAAGAAATAGCACTGAAGCAAGATAAAAGCCTTTGTATACCATTACCCCTTGCCAGGGAAAGCAAAGTGTGCTCACAGCATTGTACAGAAACAACAGATCGAGTGCACATGATTTGTGGATAATGTTTTGCTAGTGCTTAATGGGAAAAACAAAATAGGGAGAGAGAAGGATGAGGTCAAGGAGGTGAAGGTAGGGCGAGGTCAAGGAGGTGAAGGTAGGGCGAGGTCAAGGAGGTGAAGGTAGGGCGAGGTCAAGGAGGTGAAGGTAGGGCGAGGTCAAGGAGGTGAAGGTAGGGCGAGGTCAAGGAGGTGAAGGTAGGGCGAGGTCAAGGAGGTGAAAGTAGGGTGAGGTCAAGGAGGTGAAGGTAGGGTGAGGTCAAGGTGGTGAAGGTGGGGTGAGGTCAAGGTGGTGAAGGTGGGGTTGAGGTCAAGGTGGTGAAGGTTGGGACGAGGTTAAAGAATTAAAGTGCTTTGACGTCAGAGAGGCAAAGGCTTATAAGTCATTGTTAAACTGTAATTATAAAACAATTATGCACCACAGTTTATATCAAGTATAAAATAAATTTAGTAGGAGGGATTGCTGAATTTATTCTGATTCTGTTCAATAATAGAGATTTACGATAACAAAACCTTTACCCTGCTTTCCAATGCAAATTTTTAATATAACTTCAATGATGCTAAAGTTGTCATCAAATATGAAAACAACATTAGGAGATGGTGTACAGAATCTGTAGCTGCCAGACACTATAATACCATCAAACAGAATATGGAAAAATTCATCATTACTTTCCCTCTGGCTAAATTCATTTTAACAAAACATTAATTGCTACACACATCCCTTGCCTCCCTGATCTCGCTGCACCTTCACCTCTTTATCCTCACTCGTATCCTCATTTCCTCCCTTTATAAGCACTAATTCAGTGTATTCCCTGTTCAATTTGATAAAGCCTTTATATACAAAATATTATGAATAAATAAAATCTACTCTTATCGTGGTGTTTTTCTAGACTGTTGCCCTACCAAACTGCACATGTGTGTTCAAAAGAATAACGAGACCATAAGAAAAGGGGAAGCTGTGAAATACCTTACATGCTGCTATGGCGGTATGTCCACTCACAAGATGAGTGGCGCTGCCCAATAAACTCGCCCCTCGGGGCAAAATTTAAATTTAATTACAGTCCATCCTTGATCTTTATCATGCCACAACTTGATTAGGGTCCAGAATGGAATGTGAATTGTAAATTACAATTCACGTGTGGGTCGGGTTATGAATAGTAATAACATGAAAACTTTTCAAATCAAAAACACCTTGATATAATTAACATCAGCATTTTCCCCCCAGAGTCTATAGCCAAGAGTGTCATTAGTTATAATGACTAGAAACTTGGAAACCCGAGATGTGGGAACTGACACATCTACACATCACACTGACACTACACCCACTTTCTGGAACCTTTTAAACACATTTAAAAACATTATATATGTTAAATGGTGAGGCCCATTCAGCACAGCATTCACAATAGATATCTGACCACCAACGAGCAAAGAGAAACAAGAAAAACCTGTTTCTCTTTGCCCTTTTCTCAGTGCCAACTATGGTAATATCTGGCAACAGTGCCAACTATGGTCAGCTGGAGAGATTCAAGACAATTCTGGAAATTCAATCCTTTCAAAGAGGTAACTTGCTTTAGCCTGATATAAAGAAAATTTATAGTATTTTTGCCTTTGCCATGAAAGGAATAGGAAATGGCAATCCCTAATACTGTGCAGGCGATGAGTCACAATAACGTGGCTAAAGTAAGTTGACCAGACCACACACTAGAAGGTGAAGGGACGACGACGTTTCGGTCCGTCCTGGACCATTCTCAAGTCGATTGTGACCAGTTGTCCTGGTCCCCAAATACTGTATTTTATTATTGGCAACATAGTCATTTGAAAAATTATTACCGTTATCTAATATTTCACACACAGTTCCGCCTGTGTTCGTTATATTTGTAGTACAGTTGATACAAGTATCTACATGAAATACAGTATCCTAATTCATAGCCAAGTTTTAATATGCACGCAATTTTCTACAACCAAATTCTCCCCGTTTGTCTATTAGCTATTATTCTATTTTTCTATAATTCTCTTATTTTTATTATTTAAAATATTTTTCTTTTATTCTATTATTATTTTTTTTATTTAGACTATAGCTATGTTAACTAGGATTTTTATAATATTCTTCAGAGAACACAATTTTCTTTTTTTAGAATGGCACCTCAACATAATGGATATCAAAAGAACGAAAACCATGACGAGTCAAAAGGAATTTGCAACGGGAAACCACGATTATTCGAATCAATCACGGCACAGAGAAAAGAATGATTGTACAGTATATGTCAATTGCTATAAGCTAGACATGAATGTTTATACTTTAATTATTTGTGCTAATGCAGCTATGTGTTTTGTCCTATACAGTATTTCTATTTCAGGCACAGAAATTGCCTCAAGTTATTGCTTTATTGTGTGCTATACAGAAACCCAATATTGCATAATAAAGTAAATATATTTTATGCGAGTTTTTAAAATCCAAGTCAAACATTGCCTCGCTGAACAGTTCGAGAGTTAGCAACTGGAAGGCCTTCAAAAGTACAGTACTCACCACACACCGTCATGTTGAAAAGGCATCAGGGAGTCCAGGAGCTTGGGATCCAACCCAAACAAGTCCACACACGAAGCTGGAACTTGTTGTGTAACAGATGCCAGGGCCTACAATTAAACGATTAAAAATAGTGTCAAACAAATATTTGAGTGTGACACCTCTGGAGTTCACATAATATGCCAGGTATGGTGAAAATAAAATTAAGCCTCCAATAGCAGACAGGTCAAAAATATTTGATTTAAAGATAAAGAAATTACAAAATTACTCAACAGCTTTTTAATGTACAAAAAAAATCTGCAATAAAGCTTCATTTTATATATGAAATGAAACAATTTTAATTAGTAAAAAATTGCATCTGCTATTCCAGGTTTGTGTGTCAGTCAGTTTGGGGCATAGTCGACTCTTTGCAATAGTTAGTTTTGAAAAGTGTCTGCTCACAAGAGTAAGTTGTTCCGAACACAGATGCATATTTCAAAGCATGTCTCCTCAAAATGGGAAATTCATTATTCAGCGTATGTAACATTCATAGAATTTAAGCAGTGGGAGGTTGTTGTACCTAGCCTTCAGATCATCACTGCTATGCAGTGAGCTGAATCATCATCGCTGATTCAGCTCATTACCTACCCGAGTTTCAGCTAGGTAAAGAGGCGAAACATTACAGAACTGTCTTCTGATAGTTCCCTTCCCTTCCCTTCCCTCCATGTATTGCTTGATTTCATCCCACAGTTCGCAAAATCTCATGAGCATGGTCCCGTGACTCAGCCACCGCACTTCACAGTGATAAACAAGATTACTGAACTGTACTGATTCAAGATCGTTCAGTAACTCCTTGAACTGGCAGCTGTTAAGCCCCTCTGCTTTGACAAAATTTATGCACGAGACTACTAATGACATCAGATTGTTGAGCCACAAAGACTGTGAACAGAGTTTCTTGGTGTATGATGCAGTACTATCATACCAATCAACATTCCTTGTTTGTCCCTCAAAATTTACATTATTATAATTATTATGATTCACTTAATATATATTTATGCTGCTCTGAAAAAAACTCCTGCATTGACTGACTTTCCCCGAGTCCCGCCCGCAATTTCGTGGGTTTTATACGGCCCACAGGCCAGACGTCCCCCACCCCTTGACCTCAGTGAACTCATTACTATGATAGGGAGAACCACCTACGGGAATCTTACTTAAAAAATCATAAATGAACACCTATTTCTAAAGTGGAGCGTGACCATAAGTCATGAATACAGTATAATAGAAACTACTGTATTGTATACTGTATATTCCAAAAGTAATGTTTCTATATCAACAATATGTATGAATAGTTTATTTATACTGCATTGGAAAAAAAATTATCCACGTAACACACTAACCTTGCGAACAAATGATGGAAGAGGGCTAATGCAGACAGCTGGTCTGAGGGGAGAGAGAGCTGTAACCAATTTATCATGTTCACTTAAAGCAAAGTTCCATTTTCGTATAGAAGCATCTGCAAAAAATAAAATATATATACGGTAAATAACAAATGGCAATATATACTTGGAATGATAAAAAATAGAAACATTCTTCCTATTATGTGGCTACAAATCATATGAATGTCTTGGGTCAGGCAAAGTTGCTTATCCACGGATACTTAAGCAAATCTTCTTGGTTGGTAAAAGGAATAAAATGTAGGCTGATGTATATCTGTATATACATATACAGTATATATATATACTGTATATGACAAGTGCATTTTCTAAACAGGTCACTAGGCTGCTTCCCAAGGTCACATTTCACAAAGTAACAACTATAACCTGTAGTTTGGTAGGGCGATTATCTGGTACCAGTAATGGCACCAGATTTAACTTTTCAAGCAATCCCTGCAGGGTCATAATGGTACAGTACTATGGTGCACTGAAGAATACCATACAGCTTGACTAACCTCAAGAATGCATGATTCAAATAAACATTATACCCTTCTTGGCACTAGAGATCCCCCCAAAGAGCACTCTAGCAAACAACTACAGTACAGTGGAATCTCGGTTTTCACATGCCCATTTTCGTATTTTTCAGTTCTCGTACTCAATTAAACAGAACAGGTGTGGAACAGATTAATTCAATTTACCTTATTTCTTACGGGAAAATTCATTTTGGTTTTCGTACCGTCCCTGGGAATGGATTAAATACGAAAACTGAGGTACCACTGTAGTTGGTTAACCTGCCCCCACCATCAATTAGTTACACATAACAAGTTTCCCCTCGGTGAGCCACCTAAAAGAATACCTAACACAGACATCTTGAGAATGGGGGAAGACTGCGAACCCACCGGTATTCTCAAATAACACATTGAATTTTGACGCTATGATCCCCAATCGACAAAATAGAGGTTACTATGAAAAGTAGTGGCTTACAATCAAATTTTCTATGCATTGGTTGGTTAAGTTAGGTCATAATAGTTCAAAAACTTAACACTGTCCATTAAATATCTGAAAATACTGTACATCATAGATATAAGGTTATATTGTATATGTAAAAATCGAGGAGGAGAAAAGGCAGACATTCAACTAGAAATCTCTATGTTTACAATAACAGAAGCTTCCTTAAATCAATTTAAAACAGTGTACAGTATAACACAATAACAGCTTACCATATTGTTTTGTTGTCATAGTTTTAAACACCTCAATCATTTGTGAATGGAATCCTACATCCACAATGAATCTATCTAAGGACTGCAGTCTGAATGTTCCCTTTACTGTCTTGCCCAATGTCACTGCAAATATAGAGAGTAACATATTAGAGCTTATTACTATGTTTTGATATACAGTACTGTATAGCAAATAAAAATCCCTCTATATTAAATTAAGATCAATTCTAATCTGGTTGACACACAGTGAAGTTCTAGTCATACAGGACTCAATCAAACAAAAGTGCAGATGCAACAAAATTATTTTGATATGGCTAATTAAGCAGGATTAGGCCTGGGCAAATACACGATCTTTCTGAGTGGCCTCGGTATCTATGCTGTACATTGACTGGTATCACAGACATACCACAAAATTACCAGGCCTCTGGACTTGAGTAGGCCTACCTAACACCATGACGAGAATCTTGTGTGCTCAGAGAGTGAAGGGAGATTGGGGAAAAAGATCAACCTCATAGTCGGGCATAATTGCACAGGAAGTACAAGTGAAGCAATACAATCAATATCTTCATGAAAGATAAAAAATATTTTAACAAAGGAAACATTAGTTTGCTCAATGTTAACAAAAAGTGTGCTGGTATACACAAAAGGATAAATACTGTATAGATAATGTTTATCACTGACAGTTAGCTATTTTACCAATACCTTTTGTGGGACTTCCTCCGGATGATCCACCTTCAGTCCCTTCTAGGTGATTCAGGATCGTGTTGACTTTTGTGGGGCTCAGGTACAGCCCATTGACTGGCTGTGCAGCAGCTTTAAAAGAGGTTACAGGTTTGCTTGTTCCACTATTATATTTATTAGGTCTGAAATTAGGTACAGAGGTTTGATGCGATTGATTTGTTTGACTTGTTTTATAAAAACTTGATGCCGACTTTTCACCCACAGAAGATGGATTATCGGCATTAATATGTAAAGAATTTTGCTGTACTGAAGGCTGGGAATTTACATTTCCTGTCAGACTTTTCATTTGAGCTGCACGTTTCTCCAAAGCTCTTCTTCTGTTTTCTTCTATTCTTTTGGCCTCATCAGTGTAGGTACTTGGTGTGTTAAATGAGGCCTGATCATTATAATTGCTATGAGATGCATTGCTGCTACTCCCTAATGATTGTGGTTGATATGCATTATTTACATGTTCGGTGTTTTTGTTCTGAATGGTCTGGGCTGAAGAACTGCTTACAAAACTTGGGCCAGTGCCTTTGAAAACATTGGAAAAATCACTGCCACCAGAAACTTGTTGCTTTGTCCTTTTCTGAAGTGCTTTTAATCGGTTTTCTTCTATGCGGCGTCGTTGTTCTTCAGTTAGGCTACTCATTTTTATTTTTGATGTGCAGTATCGGTATACTGTGCTTCATATATACAGTATATTTATACTTTCAAAAATACTACAGTGCCTGAAAATAAGTAATTACATATTAATACTATGTGCATCAACCTAGAGCAGATTTATTATAATTTACAAGTAATAATGAATTAAGATAATTTAGGTTTATTTTTTATTCACTGTACTTATACAGTAATATAATTAATATTATACAACTAAATAGCACAATAAAATAAACATTTTAACAGTATTTTATTTTGAACTACAGTGGAAGATATCTGGTTAATAGATAGCTGCATCTAGAACAGATATTCCTAAGGAGTGCAATATAAATAGCTAGCAGAATACTTCAAATGCCTTAAAAGCTTCCTAGAAGATCCCATGAGCACCACACCAGAAACAAATACCTATTTGATATTCCAAGAGTACGACTTAGTCAAACTAGAAATGCTTTACAAATCAAGGGACCTCGAATGTGGAATGACCTTCCCAATTATGTTAAAGACTGTACCTCTCCCAACCAGTTTAAGATAAAAACTAAGTACTACCTAATTAATTCAATGTAACCTACCTCACCCCCAAAATGTCAACCCATGTCTTCTATTTTAAACAATGCTGTTTGTTGACCAAATTGTATTTTTGCTTTTTTTCTGTCATGTTCCCCCCACCCCCTTTTTTCATTTTTTTTTTCTTATTTTTTCTCAACACAATTTATACTTTAATCTCAATTAGTATTAAGTTTTAGTCTTAGTGTTTTCCTGCCCGAAACGCTTTGCGTAATAGTGGCTTTAGGCATTGTATGTACTAGCTCTATCTATAAATCCATCAACTTTTGTATCTCACCTTGTATGTATGTACTTTACCTGAATAAATATTTGTATTTGTATTTGTTGAATTTGTCAGGTTGCAAACACACTAAAACATCTTGAAAAGGTAATCGGTGGTTTCCACATTACCAGCAAATTAAGTGTTATTTCTGAGCCCTGTGACACTACCCAACTCTAATCATGCTATGTTATCACTACTCTCTAAACAAAACTAGCTTATCCTAATCCTTACCTAGCAAAATGAAAAATACTTTTCATAAATATATTGTTTGTGAAACATCTCTATTTAACTAGCGATTTTTTTAATATACAATTTATGGGCGTGTAGTAACTTAGCAGTACACCGTATTGGCGTTTCCACACATGGAAACACCCTATTGGAAACACAATATGGTGTTTATAAATAAATAAATAAATGTTTATTTAGGTAAGGTACATACATAAAGAAATTTTACAAAGTTTGTTGGATTAATAGATAGAGCTAGTACATACAATGCCTAAAGCCACTATTACGCAAAGCGTTTCGGGCAGAAATGTTTCTAGATGATAGATGGAACAGCAGAAACTGCAACAGTACAGCAGAAGTAATTTTAACTAAATAAACAGAAGACTACAATTTAAATTTACTGTATTTGTCTGTAATTGTTTATGTCGGCTGTATCAGCTCCTTTATGAAAACACAATATGGTGTTTCCACTGTAAGTTAGGTAGTGGATGTCGATCTACGTTAGCATAAATAGCTTAAAAGAATTCCCCAAAAAAGATGATAATCCTTATAATAATAAAAGAAACGTGTAAATCTGCATGTCTCGGGCGTTCATCTTTAACTATCAAGAGATAATGAGATAATCCTTTCCCTTAAAACCAAGTCTGGTGCCCTTGAGGAGATACCAACTTTAATTTACAAAAAAGCCTCCAGATCTTTAGCCCCTGCCATTGCTTTGCTCTTCAACAAGTCACTTGAACTCCAAACCTTCCCAGATATTCTAAAAAAAGCGAGAGTAACGCCTGTCCACAAATGTGGTAATCTCACAGATGTTAACAACTACAGACCTATATCTATCCTGCCAAACTTGTCAAAAATTTTTGAAAAACTAATCTATAAGCAGCTTTACTCATATCTAGCCAAACTCAATATACTTAGCCCTTGCCAATATGGCTTCAGACCCAAAAAAAGCACTAACGATGCACTTATTAGTATGCTTAACTCGATTCATACAGCTCTTGATAAAAATGAGTTCTCTGTTGGGTTGTTTGTGGACCTGCGTAAAGCTTTTGACACTGTCAACCACCAAAACCTTCTTCTTAAATTACATCATTATGGAGTCAGAGGACACTCCCTACAATACCTCAAATCCTACCTTACTGACAGGCTCCAATATGTTTCTGTGAATAATACAATTTCTCCCACCCTACCCATCAACATTGGTGTTCCCCAGGGCAGCATACTTGGCCCTCTCCTCTTTCTCATCTACATTAATGACCTTCCAAATGCCTCCCAACACCTCAAACCAATTCTATTTGCTGACGACACAACCTTCATTTACTCCAGTCCTGATCCCCTTGCTCTAAATGCCTCAGTAAATACTGAGCTAAATAAAGTCCATCTGTGGCTAACTGCCAACAAACTCACCCTTAACATTGACAAAACCTTTTATATTCTGTTTGACAATAAATCCTCTAATCAAATAAATCTCAAAATAAACAATACCCAAATTTGTAACAAATTAGATGGCAAATTCCTTGGCATTCTCATTGACCACAAGCTTAATTTCCAGGGACACATTCTAAACATATCAAAAAAAGTTTCAAAAACTGTGGGCATTCTTTCTAAGATCAGATATTATGTACCACGCCCTGCCCTGATAACTCTCTATTACTCCCTTATCTATCCATATCTCAACTATGGTATTTGTGCTTGGGGCTCTACTACCCAAAATCACTTACGTCCTCTAATTACTCAACACAAAGCTGCTATTAGGACAATATCCAATTCTGGCCCCAGACACCACTCGGTACCCCTACTTAAATCTCTGAATATGTTAGACATTAAGTCACTGCACATTCTCTCATGTGTACTATACATATATAAAACGCTAAACTATAATGCCAATCCTGATCTCAAAAGCTTCATAGAAGGTTGTATCAGAACCCATGAGCATCACACCAGAAATAAATACAGTTTTGATATTCCTAGAGTACGACTTAATCAAACTAGAAATGCTCTACAAAACAAGGGGCCCAGAATGTGGAATGACCTTCCCAACCATGTTAAAGACTGTACCTCTCTCAACCAGTTTAAGTTAAAAGCGAAGCTATACCTAATAAATTCCCTGTAACCTACCTTACCCTTCTATTGTCAACCAATGTCTGTTTTTTTCTTTAAAGAGCGCTGTTTGTCGACATAATTGTATTTGTGCTGCTTTTTCATCTATGTTTTCATTTCTTGTTTTCATTCTACTCATTATGCTCAATTAGTATTAAGCTTGTCATTTAAGTTTATCATTTTTTTTTTTTTTGAGATATATACAAGAGTTGTTACATTCTTGTACAGCCACTAGTACGCGTAGCGTTTCGGGCAAGTCCTTAATCCTATGGTCCCTGGAATACGATCCCCGGCCGCGAAGAATCGTTTTTTCATCCAAGTACACATTTTACTGTTGCGTTAAACAGAGGCTACAGTTAAGGAATTGCGCCCAGTAAATCCTCCCCGGCCAGGATACGAACCCATGACATAGCGCTCGCGGAACGCCAGGCGAGTGTCTTACCACTACACCACGGAGACTGTAAATGCCCGAAACGCTTTGCGTAATAGTGGCTTTAGGCATTGTATGTACTAGCTATACCTATAAGTTAAACAATCCTTGTAAATATTTATTGTATGTATGTACCTTACCTAAATAAAATTGTATTGTATTGTATTGTAAGACTGCAACCTCAGACCATATTGACATCTGTGTTGTCAATCTGTGTCTTGTTGGCACTAAACATTACACGCTTTTATTCCTCCGTACGTCTACTACCACCCTCCTGGCAAGCTTCTAGACAACGAAGACTGTGTAAACGCTGTCATCCCACTCACTAAAATAAAACCACAAACCCACAGTAATCTGTCTTAGAAGCTGCTTTCATGCCGACCGCGCGCCTGTGGAGCTCCTACCACACTCCTTCCTGAGCGTCAGCGGGAGCACCTATTCATGACGTCATCACTGGACAACACATTCGCCCTCAAATTAATTAATTAATTTATTTATTTATATACAAAAAGGTACATTGGGGGTTAAGAGAGTACATAGCAAGGATGATTTTTACATTTACATTTACAAATATTTTTCTTGAGACATTCACGTGTTTTTGCGACGTAAATTAGTAAGTAAAGTAAATTTTATTCAGGAAAGTATATGCATAGTTGTTTTACAAACATAATGTTGGATTTATAGATAGAGTCCAATCGGGAAAGCAGACGCGTCCCGGCAGACCGATACCGGGAAAAGGCAGAATAAGGGGATCCTTGCAGCCTCTCTAGGAAGACCAAGATGTGTCTGGCTTCCATTGAGGACTGTACGGGTCTCGAACCGTGGGTATGTGTCTGGGTACAAGTGACGGGATATGAACCCAGCGGGTTTTCTTCCTATTGGGGAGTGTTGTACACGCTGCTATGGCGGTGTGTTCACTCACGGGATGAGTGCCGCTGCTCAATAAACTTGCCCCTCGGGGTAAAACTTAAAAAAAGTGAAAGGTATGGTTGAGGATGGATGGACGTCTTCATCTCGTGCGCTTGCCTCGTCAAGGAGAACGGTGAGGCAGGGAATATGTCTCCGACGCTCCTGTGCCAGGTAAGTCCACTACGGGCTCACCATAGCCCGTGCTACTTGCAACTTTTTGTTCCGAGTAGCTGAATCTTAAACAACATCGAGACATGTTTTAGCTAAATCTTAAACACCAACAACAACATCGAGACATGTTTCAATCTTGGAAGTCTCAGCTGATTTGTGTTTACATCGGGGATGTGTTTTGTTTCCTTGGCGTTAACTGGATGTCGTGCCGTGACGTAATGAAGTGTACTGACGTCATTGATATATTCTTGTGTATAATAATAATAATAATAATAATTTTTATTTAGGTAAGGTACATACATAAAGAGATTTTACAAAGTTTGTTGGCTTTATAGATAGAGCTAGTACATACAATGCCTAAAGCCACTATTACGCAAAGCGTTTCGGGCAGAATACTGTATGTGTATTTATTTATTTAAGAAGTGCATTGCATTTGTTAGAGTACATACCATTGGTATTCTTATATTCTTGCAAAGACAAAACACTAATTAAGGACGCATCCAATCCCACGATCGTGTTCGCCCCTAAATCAACAACACGGTAATTACCTAACGGCCGCCAGACTGGTCTAGACGGGAACAGGCAGCCAGCGGCTTGTGAAAGGTACTCACTTTTTTTCCAATCACTTGGACTGAACGATAGAGCGACGGCCTCCACTCTTGCACGTCGGCGTTCAATCCCCGACCGTCCAAATGGTTGGGCACCATTCCTTCCCACCCCCGGTCCCATCCCAAATCATTATCCTCACCCCCATTCCAAGTGTTATGTAGTCGTAGTGGCTGAGCGCTTTCTCATGGTAATTACCTTACCTTACCTTAGACTGGGCAGTACAACGATGGTCTAGCTTCTTATAGATTCTCGATAGCGGCCTTCAGGTAAACACAAATTAAGGCTACGTTATTGTGCACCCTGTACTCATCCTGTGAGCGATTGCGCAAAAAGGATTACAGACTTGGGAGGAAATTTTTACATCATTAATTACAGTCATTTGCACCTTATATAATTACCTTTACAGTTAGTATCATAAATGATTAGTGATATTTGCATATTATCAAATTGCATGATAAAGGAATCCTCTATGAAGTCTACAATCCTATATATTCTGCTTGTGATACACTCAACAGTTCTTTGGTATTATGAGTTACATCTCTGATTATGGATGCTTGAGCACCATTGCAACTTTCATAACTTGATGCAGGTCTGCAACTTCTTCTGTTGTTGCGATTAACCTATACATATGCTTGCATTTGCATGAGTAATATTACACTATAACAAACATTAAACATTCCATGCGGTTCTTTATTACTAGAGGGAAAGGGAGGGTGTCAAAGGCAGTGTAGCGAGTACAAGCAATATACTCATTACATAACAGTTATGTAGTGAGTATATTGTTTGTACTCGCTACAGCAGTTATAGGCCATGTCTGAGGGCTCATAGGTGCCGCGCTAAGCCCTGACGCCTATCCTTCAGAGTGGTAAATGCCAAGAAAATAAATACTTCAGCTTGAAATCCAACTGGAAAAATCCTCAGGAATAATAGGGTGGAGCTTTTGCCGAAGTAATGGCCCCTCAGGTTAATTTAGGTAAATTTATGATATTTAGGGTCTGGAACGAAATCTGTAGCCTACCAGATCCAAAATCCAGTTTAAAAAAAATCCTCAGGAACAATGAGGGGGGAGGGGACATTTGACAAGGTGCCGGCATCTTGTCCCAGTCAAGGCCGCTAGAGAGATGGTTGCCCTGAGGTAAATACTGTAGTGTTCTGGTACAAGGGGCTGCCATGTTTTTCACCCAGGCAATACCTGTGCTAGTATTTAATATTGAACTATAACGTTAAAAATAGGGTCACCGTTATATAAATATGTAGTGAAACACGGCTCAGAGAATATTTTTAATTCGATTTTTTTTCTCATAAACACCATTGTAGGACCCCAATAACTTCCCTCACCATGGTCACAAGGTTTATAAATAAAATATGAGCGTATGTTGTCATGCCAACATAACACAGTCTCGAGACGTTACATAGCGGTATAAAATAGGTAAATATATTATCATCAGGTCCAGCGATATCCATATGTTTCCTTGTCCATCGCCATCTGGATCTCAGGTTCTGGCGGTGTCTCAGACGTCGAGCGGCGATGAGCCATCTTGAGGGTGTATAGCCTGTCGTCCTCCAAAAAAAAGGTTTACGGTCTATTCATGCCCGTGCCACCTCTTGGGGTGGCTTAATCTTCATCAATCAATCAATCCCAAAAGGTGATGACACCACAGATCCAGTCGACGACGGCGGTAACGTCAGTGTACACTCCGGGGTAGCCTGGCCTGCCGCAGCCGGAGCTCCAGGACGCCAGGCCCACCACGATGCCGTCTTTGCTCACCAGGGCGCCTCCCCAGTCCCCCTGTAAGCAAGGTAACTAGTCTCAAGTAACCGTGCCGATAACTTGCCATAGGCATGAATTAAAGAATAGGAAATATAGCACTCTGCAGAGAAGACCAAGAATAGGGATAACACGCACAATAACCAACGTAATTATCACAATCACTATTAAAACTCATTTCTTGCATACATGAATATATAAATAAAAATGTTATTCGAGCACATTGATCAGGAAAAAACATAAATGCCGACACCATATTAAATTATATAGTTATTAGACTAATATTATATTTGTTGACGAGACGACACACTAGAAAGTGAAGGGACGATGACGTTTCGGTTCGTCCTGGACCATTCTCAAGTCGATTGTGACTTGAGAATGGTCCAGGACGGACCGAAACATCGTCGTCCCTTCACTTTCTAGTGTGTGGTCTGGTCAACATTTTTCAGCCACGTTATTGTGACTCGTCGTCTGCAAATATTATGTCTTCCTGGAGCATGTATTAGCTCAATTAGGGTATTAACATTCACTTTTGCTAGGATACAAATACGGTATGTGAATTGCTAGGCTATAGGTCTTGTCAGATTAGAGATCTTCCCATCCATTCTATAGAAAAGGAGTTTCATCCATTACACGATACTATCCACCATTCAGAAAGGACAATAACAAGAGAAGGTGGGGTAAAGCTGTATGAAAAAGAGGACCTAAATGCAACCACCAAGGAGGAATTGAATGTCATGGGATCCTCTTTATCGTGCAACATTCTACCTCAAAATGGTAGCAAACTGACAGTAGGAGTATGCTACGGGGCTGACAGATCAGCGACGGCATGCATCAGTTGCTGATCTACATTATGGGATCGTTTCGGCATCAGAAACCCAAACCATTATAATAAGAACATAAGAATAAAGGTAACTGCAGAAAGCCTATTGGCCTATTGGTCCAGGCGGGTACCCAAGGCGGAATTAGGGATAGCCAACAGGAAGTCCCCGGCATGGGGAGCTATCACAGCTAGGAACCTTGCTTTATCCTTCCCAGAAGCTGCCTCCAGCATTCCCGAGGCGATGTTCTCCACAATGAGGTTATCCCATTTGGTCTGTTTACAGTCGCTTGGAGAAGTTGGTCGCGGTTTAGAGTTTGCAAGAGTGTCTCATTGCCTGGCTCCTTCAGTGAACACGGGATATACATATAAAACGAGAAAATCCAAAAGTATTTAATTTTGTTATTTGTTGTCTAGTTATGTCATACCGCACCAGAATTTATAATACAATCAATTTGTTTGTTAATGAAATACTAAATGAATGCACAACATACCTACTACTGCACAAGGCTACACAACATATCTATTACTGCACAAGGCTACACAACATACCTATTACTGCACAAGGCTACACAACATACTTATTACTGCACAAGGCTACACAACATATCTATTACTGCACAAGGCTACACAACATATCTATTACTGCACAAGGCTACACAACATATCTATTACTGCACAAGGCTACACAGCATATCTATTACTGCACTAGGCTACACAACATACTACAACACGACTACACACGTGGCATGGCTGGAGTCCCCCGGATGTAACGTTGCCAGCGCACAACATGGAGTCAGTGATCTGGTTCGGGTAGGCGTTGATACAGTCCTCGTAGGGCACTATCGGAGTGTAAGCGTCCAGTATTACGTTGGAAATATCGCCTGTTTCCCCTCGTTTTCCCCATCCGGCGATGAAATATAAGCCAGCTGGTGGAACGAAATACATTTAAAATAATTTTAATGTTAGCCATAAAAAGAGTTATTATACAAAGTTAAGTACATAGCGTAGAAAGTGACGTATAAAATCCAGTGTTTCCATAGCACACATCTGCTCACCATTTACGTGAGAATGTCTGTAGAAGGATATGTTATGTTGGCAGGTGCGCTTCCTGTTGGGTAGCGGCAGCGGTCTGATTCTCTCGTTGAAGCCGACTGGGAACAGCATCTCGACGAGGGCGACATCGAAGTCATGGGTGTATTCGTCGTACCTTGGATGTACCTCGACCTTCCAAACATTGCGTGTCCGTTCCCACCCTTCCTGCACACTCATATCGTACTCCCCGACCACAACCTGGTACCGCAAGGAAGAAAATGCTAAGCCAGTATAACAATATGACACTTGCGAAGGGGGTCTCACAAAGCTAACCAAAGAGTAAAAGCATTCTCAATAATAAAACAGAATATGGGCTTCTTTTATATGTTGATGGAATCAGATAACAAGCCATTCATACAGACGAATAGAAGGCTCTCAAACACGGTATACTTGTGTAAAGGAGGAAATGTAGATGTTTATCTCTCAATGTTTGGTAATATGTTTATTGTTTGTGATGTGTGTATATGTATGTATTAACACGATGTACTGAACGGGGTGAGAATAGCTTGAGCTACCTCATCCCTTTGTGTGTATTTTACATCAATAAACTTATTTCAATTTCAACACGGTACTAATGAGGTATATGTTGTGACCTGTAGGAAGTCAGACGAGTCCCTGTATCCCGAGACGCAGGAGGCGGTGGTGAGGACCCAGAGGTGAGAGAGGAGCGTGCCGCCGCAGAAGTGCGCAGGCTTCAGGTACTGAGCATCCTGCAGGGAGACGAGCCACGGCGTCGATCCTGCCAGGGGGGAAGAAAGTCTGCTGTAGCGGTAAGAGAAGACATTGGTTCTGTTCTCTCTACTCGTCTATTGTCTGTGACATGTGTACCTTCAAGTAGATCAGACACGGGAATGTGTCTCTTCAAGGAGATCAGACACGGAAATGTGTCCCTTCAAGGAGATCAGACACGGAAATGTGTCCCTTCAAGGAGATCAGACACGGAAATGTGTCCCTTCAAGGAGATCAGACACGGAAATGTGTCCCTTCAAGGAGATCAGACGCGGAAATGTGTCCCTTCAAGGAGATCAGACACGGAAATGTGTCCCTTCAAGGAGATCAGACACGGAAATGTGTCCCTTCAAGGAGATCAGACGCGGAAATGTGTCCCTTCAAGGAGATCAGACACGGAAATGTGTCCCTTCAAGTAGATCAGACACGGAAATGTGTCCCTTCAAGTAGATCAGATACGGAAATGTGTCCCTTCAAGTAGATCAGACACGGAAATGTGTCCCTTCAAGTAGATCAGACACGGAAATGTGTCCCTTCAAGTAGATCAGACACGGAAATGTGTCCCTTCAAGTAGATCAGACACGGAAATGTGTCTCTTCAAGGAGATCAGACACGGAAATGAGCCTGATCTACTGCACTTAAATGTGCAGGACATTTGAAATTGTGCAGAACGTCAGACTCTATTAGTTAGCTACCAGTCATATTATTTATCCACGTTATCGACTCGCAACTCAGAACAGAAATGGTTAGGCACGTTTCCTTTCACCTGGTGTACCTCTTCACCTAGCAGTTCAATAGGCACCCAGGAGTTAGGAAGTTGTTGTGGGTTGCATCTTGGGGAATTTGGGAAATCTCAGCAGTTGACCCAGGATAGGGGGGGGGGAACCTTGGTAAGCCTAAGTAAAAACTTCCTTTCCTTGACAACAGGAAGAGAACTATAAGGAGAAAGCGCCAAGCCATTACGACTATATAGCACTGGGAAGAGATCAGGATACTTATTTGGGTTGGGACGGGGGTAAGGAATGGTGTCCAAGCACTTCGGGGACGGTCGGGGATTAAACGCCGACCTGCAGGAAGCGAGACCGTCGCTCTACCCAAATGGTGGTTGGGCACCATTCCCTTTTCCCATCGACAGGAACTATACCAGATGAGGTTCCGGCTGTGCCAGAGTCTCTCTCCCTCCCTCCCCCCTCTCTCTTCTACTCTCCCCTCTCTCTTCTCCTATCCCCCTGTTGTTGTTGTTTTAGATTTAGCTACTCAGAACGAAATGTCCATGTAGCACGGGCTATGATGAGCCCGTAATCCTATTCCCCCATTCTCTTCCCCTTTTAACCGTTCTCCTCCTCCCCTTTCCCCCCTTACCAATCTCTCTTCTAATCTCTCTCTCTCTCTCTCTCTCTCTCTCTCTCTCTCTCTCTCTCTCTCTCTCTCTCTCTCTCTCTCTCTCTCTCTCTCTCTCTCTCTCTCTCTCTCTCTCTCTCTCTCTCTCTCTCTCTCTCTCTCTCTCTCTCTCTCTCTCTCTCTCTCTCTCTCTCTCTTAATATTTTTTGAAATATTTAATATTTCAAAGCACAGAAAAACTGCTAAACAATTGTTCTTAAAGCACAACCTCTATTTCAAACTTGACTTGTTGAAAATGGCAAGGGAGGTCACTATAGACGCCGATATGTTTTTGTTTTGTTTTAAAGTTTGGCATTGGGACAACCCCAACTGGCCTATTACACCCCCATACCCCCATGTGTCATCTTGGAAAGTCGAGTGACGCTAGCCACTAGCGTCTGCCCCACAACCCCGGACGGACAGACATCCTCCTTTAAAGTTACAGAATGTAACACTATGTTCTATTCATCTGGGCTGTGAGAGGCTCGAACCTCTGACGTGTGAGGGTGCGAGACCTGGCTACAGCACTGACATACCTGGCTCTGCAATCTGACCATCGGTGATCTTGTCCTGGGCAGGATAGCGAGGCAGGTCTGGGTCTGGTGGACCGGGCCATCCATCCAAGTCAGGTTCACGCAATTATATACAACAAATAAAATAAATACACCTTATTAACCACAAATGGATGCCTAGGCATTTTTAATTAATATGTTCGTTTATTTATTATTCACTTTACCTAATGATTATTATTGACTTTATTTGGTCTATTGTTGACACAAGATGTAAATTATGTATAACAAAATTTTATTCGGACATTGATAGATATGTTTATTATTCAACAGCGGAATAGCTGAGGTATCAATGAATAATGTCCCAACTAGGTTTTGTTGTGTTTATTTGACCCATCCTCGTGCAGTATAGAGGAGACGCCCATCAACACACTCACGCACACACTCAACTATTTTGAGAGACTCTTAACTCACCACAATCCATTTTGGGTTTGACACAAAGGTTACTTCTCATGTCTCTTCCTTCTGCGCCCAACACGCCGCCCACCACCGCCACCCACACGCCCATCGCCGCCCACACGCCCACCATCCCTGCCAAAAATGGAAAGCGGAATGATTCTTGGTGTCCTGTAATTGAAATAGTCATTTTGACTGCTCTCTGGAACATAGTCGAGAAAATGACTTTCTAGCTGCGAAACACTTTGATAAACAGTGATTTGTTAGGCTTATCGAGGTACCCTTAGGCCAACGAATTCAAGTTCAAATATGTTTATTGAGACAAGAAAGAAATACATTTCAAAGGGATAGAGTAGCTTAGGCTATTTCTACCCCCCAGTCCAACGAATGTCTCTCTCCTGGATGCAACTCACAACAGTTGCCTAACTCCCATGTGCATATTTTAGTGCTGGGTTAACAAGGCATCAGGTGCAAGGAGGCGTGACCAAACGTCGTCCTGTCAGGGAATCGAACCCAGAAGCATTCGGTTGTGTGTCGACTGTTCAGGTCACTGCGCTCGAGGACGTTTTTACTATTATTATTATTATTATTATTTTCTACCACAGACGTGGCCACACATTTACAATGCTAACCAGCATATATATACATTTTCTTCTGTCCTCCATGGACAGGGTGAGAGATTTGTCAAACATACAGTTCAGAGATTTATTGGATAACCACAGAAGGTGATCGTAGTGCTTTTAAAATGTTAGGCTAAGCTACATACGTAAATACATAGATACACAGATTTATGAATGCATTAATGTGAATTTATAATGGTGAAATGTAATTTTGATCAGCTTTATACTTTATACACATACATACACAGCTCGAGGACGTGAGAGAGAGGTGTCTACGTAGAAACAAGAATTGTGATGCTCGTTGGCTAGAGGCTTCGCAATACTAGGTAAAGTAAGTCGATTCATAGGATCCAACCCTTATATTTCCTCGTCGAGCAGCGGCAGCGTTAGGGAATATGTCATCTTGTATTCCAGTTCGAACCCCACATTACTTTTAAATGAATTATAAGACAGGAATCCTGGCATTCAATCCTTCAAGTCTAGCACCTGTCCAGCGTATGTAGTTTATTTATTTCTCAGATTCTGTGAAAACTCTTACTGACAGCAATATTTGCTGTCAGTAAGACAGCAAATTACTGTCTTTGGGTGGCCACTTACCACTGGAAGAGAAAGGAATCATCAGGAGAAAGCACCATGCTATTACGACTATGTAACAAGATGCTGCATGATCTCTGATTGCCAGCAAGGCTAAGTATTGGTCTCTTGCAACTAGCAACATTTGCAGTGGTCTCTCACTGCCAGTAAGAGTCATGGTACAGTTGTCATGGCACTGTATCATGGTACAGTTGTCATGGCACTGTATCATGGTACAGTTGTCATGGCACTGTATCATGGTACAGTTGTCGTGGTACTGTATCTTGGTACAGTTGTCGTGGTACAGTTGACTATTGAGCGCGTCTGGAAACATCCCGCGCATAGCTTACAATCCACATTATGAGGATTGTGGATTTATTCAAGAGTCATAGTGTTGTGACTTCTCGTTATCACCGAGATCCTCATTCTAAACAGGGTCTCGTAGTACATTTGGATTCGTTTTCGACTGCCAATCGGGAATCCCGGGTTCGACTCTCGAGCCGGACAGAAATGATTGTGCACATTTCCTTTCACCAAATGGCTTATGATGAAATGGCTTCGCCTAGCAGTAAATAGGTACTTAGGAGTTAGTCAACTGTTGTGAGGTTCCTGGGGAAGGGTCAGTAGTTCCATCTAGGGGAGTCTCATATGTATATATATATATATATATATATATATATATATATATATATATATATATATATATATATATATATATATATATATATATATGTCGTACCTAGTAGCCAGAACGCACTTCTCGGCCTACTATGCATGGCCCGATTTGCCTAATAAGCCAAGTTTTCCTGAAATAATATATTTTCTCTTATTTTCTTCTTATGAAATGATAAAGCTACCCATTTCATTATGTATGAGGTCAATTTTTTTATTGGAGTTAAAATTAACGTAGATATATGACCGAACCTAACCAACCCTACCTAACCTAACCTAACCTATCTCTATAGGTTAGGTTAGGTTAAGTAGCCGAAAAAGTTAGGTTAGGTAGGTTAAGTAGTCGAAAAACAATTAATTCATGAAAACTTGGCTTATTAGGCAAATATGGCCTTGCATTGTAGGCAGAGAAGTGCGTTCTGGCTACTAGGTACGACATATATATATATATATATGCAATTGACGATCACAAAACACTGATCATTTTATGCGGAAAATCCACAGAGAAATATGAAATGAGGTGAACGTTTCGGCTTTGTTAAAGCCTTTGTCAACACCAGACTGAGTCAGTCTGGTGTTGACAAAGGCTTTAACAAAGCCGAAACGTTCACCTCATTTCATATTTCTCTGTGGATTTTCCGCATATATATATATATATATATATATATATATATATATATATATATATATATATATATATATATATATATATACACGTAAAAAAAATCATTACAAGAATTTTGGCACCTTGGCACATGCGGATATGTCGAAAATAGGTTCGATACCATAATTGTTTTTTCCTTCACTTATCCCTGTTTAAATCTCATTTCTCACATTATTCATAAAGGAAAACATAAATTTAAGGGATAACTATTGATCAAAATTTCAGACGCTCAAATCAGAATACAAGGGTGTATGTAGCTAGTGTTGATCTTAAAATAATACAGTAGGCTAAAGCCTAATTCCCTGTTGCATCGATTACTGCGAAAACACTGAAAAAGCCTAATGAGCAAATTTAGATTTATGACTGATAGCTACTGCGAGGAGTCTCTCAGGCTTTTAGTTAGACTTACCTGTAACTAGGGAAGGGAGAGAGGTCGTTTGCCATCCCATTATGAATTTGTCGTGGTGACGACAGTTGTAAACTGACTAATGTGGGTGTGGTTGACTTGGACCGTTGCTACTGGTGCTTACTTGGGAGGGTTTTAGTTGTTGCCTGCTGAGAGTCGTGAAGATAACTGTTGTGTCGTGTTCTTGCTGTCGTCGTTCTTCTAAGACGTATGCAGTTTACAAGCATTAATCATATTTATATCTATATATTTACACATTATTCAAATTCAGTACCCATCAGACGGGCACTGGACACATTTATGTATGAAGATAATTTGTTTCTTGGAATTGCCGAGAGGAATATTGGTTCCCAAGTCCACACTACTCGCCCACCTCCAACATTTTGGGTCCCCTTGCGTGCGACGAGGATGTTCTCTTGCGTCTGCTAATGCGTGCGTTCCGTCATGCATCTACAAGAACAGGGAAGGTGCGCTGTGTCTGCTAGTATGAGGTAGGTGTGCTGGGTCATACGCTTGCTAACACTGTACGGAAGGTTCGTCACACCGGACGGCCACCAGCTGCTACACTGTACGGAAGGTTCCTCACTGGACGGCCACCAGCTGCTACACTGTACAGAAGGTTCCTCACACACCAGACGGCCACCAGCTGCTACACTGTACAGAAGGTTCCTCACACACCAGACGGCCACCAGCTGCTACACTGTACAGAAGGTTCCTCACACACCAGACGGCCACCAGCTGCTACACTGTACAGAAGGTTCGTCACACTGGACGGCCACCAGCTGCTACACTGTACAGAAGGTTCGTCACACCGGACGGCCACCAGCTGCTACACTGTACGGAAGGTTCCTCACAGTGGACAGTCTCCACATGGTGTACTGATAACCTACCCTCCGCCACCTCCTTTTAAATCTCCCTCTCCTTCCGACGGGGAAACAGGGAGTCGACGTCACGCCGCTCACTCGCCACCACAGCTGATAACAAGAAAAATAAATTCCTGATAAACTTTCTGTTGTCTTCTACCTAACGTGTTCCCAGATTGTGAAAAACAGAAACAACCAAGCGGATGTCTGAGCCTCAGCAGTAAGAGTTATTGTACGTTAGTTATGATTGCGACTTATTTATTTAGTGTTATGAAAGCATATTATGGAAGCCTGAGCCTTTTCCCGATAAGGTGCATTATTCATTTTACTACAAGCAATGGGGGGACTAACATTTAGGAGCCGCGCTCCGAGAGATTATTTTCAAAATTGCTTCTGAATTTCGAAAATTGGTGCCTCACACATTAACATTTGTCTCGTTACTTGTGAGTGTTCTGCGTTAGGAAGATCGAAATATTTTATGAGTATTTCTCGGTGGGACCGTTGACGACTTTAATGGATGCTGATGCGGCCACCATCTTCCCTTAAAATCATGATTCACTAAGCCTTTAAGTGTTCACTTACAAGAGCTGTACAGCTTTCCTCAATCGTGGCCGCTTTGCTTGTATTTACTAAATAGTTTATGAGCTCCGAAGCGTTAGGAGGTAGTCTATATCAATAATAACCTTGGGTTGAGAACGACATCGCAGCGTTTCAGAGCGCGTAAAATGGTTAGTAAATTCAAACTAAGACGCCATGATTGAAGAAAGATGTATAGGTCTTCGAAGTAAACACAGAAATGCTAGATGAATCCTAGCCTACGTGATAATTGAGCACAGTACCTCATTGTTTTGGTGTTTCCTCCCCACTGACGACCATTCCAACGCCCATTAATGACGAATTCAAGAGCTTTTCTACTCTCTTTGTATGCCGGAGCATATTAAGTTATCACTAGCTTTGGCTGGTGATAACTTAATATGAGTGTTGCTTTCAGCGGCCCGCAGGCCCACATAGCCATTACAACCTGGCCCATTCAGCACTTCCTACAGGAACTTGTCCAATCATCTTTTCGAAGCATTCACTTTTGTTCCGGCAATATTTAAGACCAGAAACTACTAGTAATGAAATAAATAAGTTAATGGAAATATAAAAGACGTGAACCTCTGATGTTCATAGAGTGTTATCCGTGTAAATGGTCTCTCTGCTCTTCACGTCAGATGTTCATTTATTAGTTCTGTCTATGGCACTGTTATCTTGTTGGCGTTCAAGTCTTGTTTTCTCTCTCATGGTGGGAAGAGTGAGATGTCTTCTACGCTTGTCCCGGACGAGAGAAACACCGGGAATTCCCTGTGATAAGGAAATGCCACTCGAGATAATCATTACAATATAGGAAACTGCAGAAGGCCGGGCTAATGGTCCATGTGACCCAACTACCTGGCGTAGTCGGTAGAGCGACGACCTTGCTTCGTGTCGGAGTCGGCGTTCGATCCCTGATGGTCCAAGTGGTTGACTTCCAAGTGCTATATAGTCATACTGGCTTAGTGCTTTCTCCTGATAATTACTATTTACCATTGATCCATGCGAGGCAGCTCCAGTGAGGCACCCAACCAAACTCATTCACACGAAACAGTCCAGCGATCCTACCTTGATTATGTACCCGGTAATTTGTTCCATACATCAACACTATTCCAAAACCAGTATTTACCCAGGTATTTTTCTGAATGTAAACTTATCCGATTTGTATCCATTGTTTTGTGCCCTATTCCGTGTTGTATTTATAAACAAAATATATGAAAACAGGGTATAAAAAGGGGCTTGTCGACAGGGGAGGATTGTTCTGACGTTGATCCTCTCACAAACTGTCCTCAGGGAGGAAATCCGCTCTCGGAAATGGATTGAGAACGACTACATAATTAGTGATATTTACTCGTGGGTTAGGTTGAGTTAAGGTTACTTTAGGTTAAAGTTTGGTTAGGTTACGTTTCACTACTTTTGGTTACGTTAATATGGTGTATTATTGGTGATAATGTGAAATATGGGACACGAAAACTATTTGAGTGTTTTTGTAAATGGAGAATTCCATTTACAGAAAACCAAATATATAACATAAAACGTTTTCAGCATATACTTTTTATATTTTAAACAAACGATTTATAATAAAATAAAGTTATAATTTGAGAATAATCTCTGTTTAGCACAAAGGTTCACTTACCAACTTACATGTAGACTATTACTGGAGCCATAATATGTTACGAGACCATCACATATTGATAACTATCCAGGTGGATCGAGTGCATGGGGGAGTTGTGTAAAACCCTGGTTTGTGTCTTGGAGAGGCTGCAGGGTGGGGGTGATTTTTCATGTTAGTGAATATGGTCTGAGGACGGGCTCCATTCTTTACATTCTTCCCTTTTCTCCTTCCACCTTCTTGCCTTATATTGAATATCTCTTCTCCACTCCTTCTTACGGGCTATTCATGCCCGTGTCACCTCGTGGGTAGCTTAATTTTCATCAATCAATCAACTTCTTCATTACACTATTTGTTAAGGGTTCAGGACGGACCGAAACGTCGTCACTTCTTTTATTTTCAGATTTCTGGTTGGGCGTCTATGGGACTTATGTTCAGCAACATCAGAAGCAATAATATATACGAATGGTGATCGAACACCGCCCTAGTGGCCAGTATTATGGCTCTGTATTATTAGATAACCCGGCCAGAGGCCCAGGGTGATCTAATTACCCTGATCGACAGGGTAATATAGGCACTATGTCGATCAGATTTTACTAACATTTTGTCGGAGGGCCGCCATGCAGTTCTCTAGTGGCCTCGATGGGGACAGGAAGCCAGGTGCTTGCCAGAGGTTTCCCAATGGTTTCCAAGGATTTTTTCCAGCTAGATTTTGAATTGAAGTGATGTTTTGACATTTACAGCTTCGGCAACTTGCACGGTTCCACGGGTTTAATAACCCTAGGTGAAAAATCATCTCAGCACCGCTCCTGTGTCAGGTAAGTCCACTACGGGCTCACCATAGCCCGTGCTACTTGGAACTTGTTCTGAGTAGCTGAATCTATAACAACAACAACATCATCTCCTGTTTTTTTTTGTCCTACATAATTGTGTCTTATTGAGCTTAATGATGTTGCCTCCCCCTTTTTTCAATAAAGGAAGACGATACCAAACTCAAGTCCGTTTATGGAGACAATCAAATACATCTCAAAGGGATAGAGTACCTTAGGCTATTTCTACTCTCCTCACGACGATATCGTTTGGAAACTAAGCTAAAAGTGCTGGGTAAATGTAAAAGAATGAGTAGGTACAAGTGAAATATGACCTAACATCATGTTTCACAATATCCTACGAACCAATGCTTATAATTAGACAAAACCACTAGAAAATAGAGGAGTGTGAGGTGGGAGTGTCGGAGGGGAACAGGTGCCAGTTCACACGATAAAAGTCTAGTAATAACAAACGACTGATATCTTTTGTTTCACAAGTGAAGATAAACAACATTTTCTCCCACAACGAATTTTATTGGTATACAAAGGAATATAACATCAATATATTCTAATATAACATCAATCTAACGTATAACATCGCAAATACACAATATTTTCAACGCATATCTCCAACACCTAGCATCTCCAATGCAACAATGTCAAATACATCTTCAATGTATTCAACGTCTTGTATCAATGTCTTCAACGCATTATATCTGCAACACATAACATATCCAGCGCATAACATATCCAACGCATAACATCTCCAGTGCATAACATTTCCAACGTATAATACTGGTATCTCCAACGTATAATATCTCCAGTGCATAACACCTTCAATGCATAACAATGTGATTTCTGTGTGCATTTGACGAGAAAGACGGGAGATAGAATGCTTGGACTACAAGTAAGAGCGCATGGGGTGGAGGAGCATTGTGAGAAACCCTGGTTAGACTTCAGTGGAAGCCTCAGAAACCCTAGAGACGTTTCTTGCCCGAAACGCTGTGCGTGCTAGTGGCTTTACAAGAATGTAAAATCAACTTAATTTCTATGTTCTCTGTTAACCCCCAATGTACGTTCTTGTATATAAATAAATAAATAAATAAATAAATAAATAGAGGATTCAGTTGAATCCATGTTTCCATTGTTTTTACTATGTCGTGGTGCAATGGTCTAAGGCGTCTGCATGGGAATACCCAGAGCATAGGTTTGAATCCTCCTCATGGATCCTACTTATATTCTCATTACTAATGCATAACATTTCTAATGCATAATATCTCCACTGTACAACATCTCCAACGTATAACATATTCAACATATAACAATTCCAATGCATAATACCTACAACGTATAATATTTCCAGTGTATAACATCTTCAACTTATAATATTTCCAACACGTAACATCTTCAATGTATATCAACCAACATATAACGGCTCCAATCTTCTATTGTCGTTCTACCTGTCAATTATTTTAGTGTTGTTTGTCAGGATATCTTTGATGATGATCTGACTGTGTGTAGAGATTATATATGTTCTTTGATGTGGGAGGGAAGTTTGTGCATCTCTCGCTGTTTGCGCATTGTCAAACAAATGCCAAAACCTAGTACTTGGTAATGGCACCATTAGGGCCTCCTGGCTGGACTCGAGATTGTCTGACATATGATTGGCTGGCAATGTTCATATATCTTTATTCCTGGCTGGACCCTCTATGCTTTAAAAAAAAGTGGGGGACAATCATGCCCATTGCTATTCATAACCCCTGACGCTTATAGTAGCCATAAGGCTACAGGAAGATTAGCCTAGCCAAGAAATGACCTCCAACCTTATTAGTCTGGGTATAAGACTTTCCTTGGCTGTAAAGTTGTAGCACATATGCCTCGCGAATACATTAATTATACCTTCAACCAAGTTAGATGGTCTGAGCCGTTCGTCGCTGTTTTACTAATAAAAACCTGTTACAGGTTGTAACAGAACCCATGAGCACTACACCAGAAATAAATACAGTTTTGATATTCCTAGAGTACGACTCAATCAAACTAGAAATGCTCTACAAATCAA